GGGAGAACATGCAAACTCCACGCAGAAAAATCCCGGGTGTCCTCACTGGGACACGAACTGGCGACCTTTTGTGATGCTGCAAATACTCACTCCAGCTCCAAATACCAGCACAATTTTGCATCTTATTTCTTCTACCTGCATGATTTGCACATTACTTTGCACTTTAGTTTCATAATTTTTCTTTAGTGTAACATGTGTGAGCTACTGAATACCTCCAATTTAAAGAAAGAGGGACATGACAGCATTATTTACTTGCAAGACGAAGGTTCCGAGTATGACGCTGCAGAAGACGAGGTTCTTGTGAATGCCCTCAAACACGTTTCTCTCGCCGTGGAGCTTCCTGGCATTGAGTTCGTTGAAAAGCTGCATCATGACGAACGCGTTGAACACGATGGTGTAGTGCTCTGACGGCGGGGAGTGCAGGGGGGCATTGCGGCCGCTGCTGATGCCGAAAAGCTTCTCACCTGAGAAACAAAGGCAGAAAATATAACGATGAAATGAATGAAATGAATGAAAAATACTTTATTTATCCCAGAAGGGAAATTCAAGTTAATTTAAAATCTTCTATAATTACACAGTTACAGTTGCCCCTGAACTCACCAGCAAAGAGCAGGGTAAAGATGACGATGAGCTGGTACACAGCGTGGCCCAGGATGTTCTTCATCATCGTCCTGGAGATGAGAGGCTTGTCGCGGCCGTACGGTTTACGTTCCAGCAGAGACTCGGTGGGCTGTTCAGTGGCCAGAGCCAGAGAAGCCAGAGTGTCCATGATGAGGTTCACCCACAGCATCTGGACGGCCTTCAGGGGAGAGTCCTGCAGGGCGAGGAGCAGACGTCACCCGTTTAGTTTTACTCTTTTTTTTCTTGCTTCTACTCACTGACAAATTGAACATGTGCCGACATGTGACGTGAGCGAATCATTCTTTTTATATTGAATCCTTTTCAACCTGCTAAATTGCTTAACTTCAGTTCCCCCACAGAATATTTGTGTCTTTGAATAGGCTTTCTGGCAAATGAATCACATTTAGCGTTAGCACACAGTGAGAGCATCACTTCACGATGAAGCGACATCTGCAGCTCCTGGTGTGATCTGCTGTTAGACTCCTTTCAGACCCACACAGAACACTCCTGCACATTTAGGCTGCTCATCCTCAGCAGACCTTCACTGGGCATGAGAGACGTTTTGAGACGTGTTTCTCCTTTTCTAGGTTCTTCTGGTAAAAAACAAAAGAAAGCCTCGTTCTCATTAATAGGAAATGTTCTCCTAAAAAGATGCTAAATTGTCTTGTTTTAAAATACGGTAGAACTCTTATCGAGGAGACTAAACGTCATTTTAAGAGTGTATATCTACATAACAACGTTCAGTCGACTCCATTTAACATGATTTTCTTGTCAAACGTCTACTAAGGTTGGTCAGTTTTAACCGTCCATGTATTTTATTTACATTTTATCAGACAGTGTAAACAGATATTTCCCTCCTTCTCTCAGTCTGTCATGATTCTGTAACTACATGCACACTGTGTATGTGTCAACACAAAGTCAGGACAATGAAATGCATCACTGAAAAATAACTGTCATTAATAACAGGCAAGTACTCCACGTCTTTGAATTTTCATGGGCCAATGATTAAAAATGTGTCCTCTGGTGGAGCCATTTGGTCAGTTGGACCTGCTGGAATTAATTTTGTCTGTGTCCTCACATATTTCATAGATGTGGGAGTTTTATTTCTGGAGATATTCCACCCATCCATTATCTATAAACCGCTTAATCCTCACTAGGATTGTGGGGGGGCTGGAGCCCATCCCAGCTGACTTAAGGCGAAGGCAGGGGACACCCTGGACAGGTCACCAGTCGAGTTTGAAGTTTATTTCATTGTACTGACACTATACTTTGATTAAAGGATTTCAGAGTTTATTGTGATACCAGCAGCCCTGGACTTTCATAGAAACACCAGATACCAGCTGTAACTCTGAGTAGTCACTGTCGAACAACATGTGAGGCACCTGATTGGCTTCAATTTAAATGTCCGAACTGTTGATTAGTTTAAGCTTAAACATCATATTAAAAAGGCAACACTGACCGACCTGCCTGTGGTTATTTAGACTCATCCTGTGACGACTGATATCAACATATTAATTTCAGACCTGAGTGATGCAGGCGCCGGTGAACGCCACGATCACGGCCACCACGTTGACGGTGAGCTGGAACTGCAGGAACTTGGCGATGCTGTCATACACGTTTCTGCCCCACATGACGGCCTTGACGATACTGGTGAAGTTATCGTCAGTCAGGATGATGTCAGAAGCTTCTTTGGCCACGTCTGTGCCGGCAATTCCCTGATAGGAGGCAGAGAAGGTGGAAAATCACAATAACCAGCTGGTTCAGTGTGACAACCTTCTGTATTTGTCTGACAGTCGACAAAAAATCGAATACTCATCTAAACCTTGAGAACATGAGGTTGAATAACACTATGTATTTGTGGGCTGCTTTAAAGATTCACATCTCTGGTACGAGGAAAAGTGCTTGGAGTCAAGTGAAACAAACCAGGTGGGGAAGTCAGAAAGTATTGGAACTGGCTGACAGGTCAGTCCACGAAGAGGCAGCCAGAGCCCTCCATCCCACAGACATTAGACTGCTGCAGTTCTGCTGCTGAAACTATGATCTATCCCATAATATTGATGCTCAAAGTTGGTTATAGGAAAAAAAAAAAAAACTATTTCATGGCAGCATTAGATTTAATGTAATTAAGTCAAAGGTGTATTTTTTTTCTTTTGGTATTGATGAAGAGAGAAACTGAAGCAGCAGATGAGTGATGCAGTGGAGAGCTGTGGAACAAAGATGGAAAATGAAGCGATAGTTACCATGGCAAAGCCAACATCAGCTTTTTTGAGGGCAGGACCGTCGTTGGTGCCGTCTCCTGTCACGGCCACCACCTGTCGGATTTCACCCACTGTGCTGTCAATGATGCCTGATCAGCAGAAACAAAACGAGAATCTCAGTTTTAGTAAATCTGAACATTTTAGGACACATGGAACATGCATTTCCTGTAGTTCAGTCGGCGTTTGACCGATGCGATATCTAGTTTACAACGACATGTAACTTATCTTGTGCACTAGGACGAGTAAACGTGACAGCAGTGATCCAGCATGTTAACAAATACACATCAAACTACATTAACTCTGCTGATGGGTTAGAAAGGCAGGTTGTCTTTACAAAATCACCCAAATCACACAATTAAGCAGAGTCAGAAACTGTAAAAGCGGAAACAATTGGCAGACTTTGAACTTTTAGGCGATACTTGAACTACTCATCTGTGTGCCAGTGTTGGTAAAACCTGTGGACACGTGAGAAAATGTTGGTCCTGTTGATTCCATTTTATTACATTTTGTAAAATCAATAATTATAGAAATTCAGCTTTAGTTTGTTCTTTTCTTATGATTCCTGTCATTGTAACTGTGTCACACAGCACAGAAGGCATTTCTGAGTTGTCTCTATCCTAGCCATGGTTGTGCAGACTTCATACTGCAGTGAAAAATGAATCCAACATGAGAAACAAAGAGTTAAATCTCTGTCCGAATGAACTCACCCTTGACCAGTGTGTGCTTGTCCTTTGGTGATGAACGAGCCAGAACACGCAGTTTAGGCCATATCCTATCCAGACGCTCCTGTTCCACCTAGAACACAAGCAATAAAAGATTTTTTACACAACAAATTTTATATCAAATATACCGTTATTTTTTACAGATAGGCCTGCTATAGGGTAACCAGTACCTCCTTAGTTACCATAATTTTATAGCATAGACGAAAAACTTTTACTTTTACAAACAAAGCAATAAATAACTTTGAGTAAATGTCAACTAGTGTGAGCTACTATTTAATCTGCTGCAAATCTAAGCCTACAAATAAACTGATTTTAGCTTGTATCAGGTATATGGGTATCAGTTTATACATTAGCCGATAAGTAAGATGAAAAAATGTGGGACAGAAATACAGAACTGGATTTGAAGTGACTTACAAGCAAAAAGAGAAATCCTGTCATTACTCTGTTGTAACCAGCTTGTACTGTGCTGCCTTTTACAGCAAACACTGCTGAACTCTAATGGGATGGTTCTCTGGATGTAGAAGTTGTCGTGGAAGTTTTTACTAGGATGCTATATCCACTGAGCTGTGATTTAATTGAGGTTCACTTGTTTTGGTTGCATTTTGGAGTCAACTTGTGGTCAAAGATGGAGGTGGGCTACAGCAAACTACAGTAAAACAAATATATTTTGAACTCGTCTCACCTCTCCTCTGTCGTTTCTGATCAGCCGGTTGAACTCCTCGCCCTCCAGACAGAGGAAGTCCTCGTCGGGTCTCAGGATGCCACACTTGACAGCGATGGCGCGGGCAGTGCTGATGTTGTCTCCGGTCACCATGCGAACAGTGATGCCTGCACGCTGACACTTTGAGACGGCTTCAGGCACCTGGAGGAGCATCACAACAGAGGAAATCTTTCACTTTAAAGATACCGGAGGGATGACAGAGACACTTGTCAGCTCCTCGGTTTAAAAATGACTATGAAGCCTAAAGGAAGCAAACAAGTGTATTTCTATAGCACCTTACCGTACAAAGAGGTTATTCAAAGTGCTTTACAGGCAAAGGTAAAAATGCAGCAAAGCAACACCTAATTATTCAAATTCAATAATTCCCAAACAGCATAATAGACAAATTGAATTAGGTGTACTCAAATTTTCGCCTTCAAGATGTTGAAACACAAAAACACACAAAGTAGTTGGAGGGCAGCTAGAAGCAACTGAAGGGAGGTTAGCAGGTAGAAACAGCTGGACTATCTCTCAGTCTGCACGTTTTCACAGTTTATACATTTTTTACAGGCACAATGGAAATCCCATAAATATACGTCACATCAAACTGTAGTTTCTATCGATGCTCTAAGATTTTCAGCGATTTTTGAAATCACTTGTATGTGGTTTAATAACGTTATAATATGATCTTGTTTTGCATTGATGCTGCAGATTTTATTGCTGTTGGTTTTTACTGTAAGGCACTTTGTAACTGTGCTATACAAACACAGTCAGTCCATGTACAGTTCAGGCAGGTTCAGTGACTGGACATGGAGGCGGATAAACAATCTGACTTATTTCTAAAGGTTTATGTTATCTTTCAGTGGGAGCTGCGTATCTCCTCCAGGTATTTGATAAAAACCACATGCTTCCTCTATCACTGGATCACAGTAAAACTTTAGACTGTTTTTTAATTTAAAAAAAAAAAAAAAAAGTAAATAATAATAAAAAAGTTTTGTTTTTGTTTTTATGATTTATAGCTTCAAAACCAGATTTTTCTTTTAGTGTTTGTGTTTTACAGGTGGCTACTTTAACTTGTACAGCTCTTTGGTTTAACTGATGCTATTTTACATGTGCCTAATAACTACATTTTACTCTACAAGAGCAAAAACCACTCAGAACTTGATGACGCATCTATAAGTAGTCTGAGATGACAGATAGGATTTAGAGCAAAGGAGCCTCTCATCACTGACAGCTGAAAATGATAAAACATGGTGTGTAATGACTCTCATTACTCAGTTCCACCTGATCCTGAGATCAGGGGTTCACTACAGGAGGTCTGACTGTACCTCTGGTCTGACGGGGTCCTCGATGCCCACCACGGCAATGCAGGTCAGCTCGTTGAGGATGTCGTTCTCACTGTCCCACGCCGGCTCTCCGGCTTTGGCAGGAAAGTCTCTGTAGGCCACACAGATGGTCCTCAGTCCGTTGCAGGCCATCGGTTCGATCACCTCACGCACCACCTTGTCGCAGTCCTTGGGCTTGAAGACGCGGGGCCTGCCCTGGGCGTCCAGGATATGAGAGCATCTGGGAGGCGGAGGGAGATTATGAGGCACTACCAAACAGGCAAGAAACAGCTCAGCTCCCCTCAGATGGATGAGTGAGGGATTGGCTCGCACAATGAGCTAACTGTGTCTTTTTTCTTACTTCCTCAGGACGATCTCTGATGCTCCTTTGGTGTACATGATGAAACCGCCGTCAGCGTTTTGCAGCACCGTGCTCATGGATTTGCGTGAGGAGTTGAATGTGTACACCTTGTAGAACTGCTCCTCGGGAACCTCATCTCTGATTGGCTGGTAGTCCCTCCTCAGCTCGAGCAGCAGGCCCAGTAGACCGCACTCCGTCTTGTTGCCCACGTGGCAAGGCAGGCCGCCTTCTTTCTCCGGAGGCTGAGGGCACACAAGGTTTGGATGTGATGTACATGAGAAAGCACGACCCTTTAAGCCTGGACGTTTAAAGGCTCAGAAACGATGGAAAAAAACTTTTTATATGACTTAATTAAATGTAATAAAGTTACTACACATAAAAAAAATCTGATTTTACGTGGAATAACTCTTTGAGGTTAGGATTAGGTTCTGTGCTCATGTTGTTCTTTGGTGTAGCTGGACAGTGAAGGTCTCACCAGGATCTTGGTGGTGTATGCTGAGTTGATGGCGATGCTTCTGACCAACGTTTCCAGAGTCTCTGGTTTGATGGCGTCAGGTTTGGGGATGGTCTTGTAGTATCTACTACTGATGTAGGCCTGTACCACTGTCATACGGTTCGTGGTCAGAGTACCTGTCTTGTCGGAGCAGATAGCCGTGGCATTGCCCATCGTCTCACAGGCATCCAGGTGACGCACCAGGTTGTTGTCTTTCATCATTTTCTAAAAGATGCAGAACGATGCTGCCTATCAAACTTAGCAAAACGACTATGACACAACTCTGAGTGGGACCATTAGTGTTACATTTGTCATAATCCCCTTCACTTGCTGTCCTGCTCACCTTGACAGAGTAGGCCAGAGAGATGGTGACGGCGAGTGGCAGCCCCTCAGGAACAGCCACAACCAGCACTGTCACGCCGATGATGAGAAACTTGACAAAGTACTGGATGTATATCGGGGTGCAATTGGCCAGAAAGGGGCGACCCTGGATCCCGAAGGTGTCAATCACAAAGAAGAGGAAGAGGACGACGATGGTCAGAGTCGACATGACCAGACCTGGTTGAAACAAACACAAAGTCTCACTCAACTCAAATAAGCTGTAAATTATACAAGTAATGTTAATGATTACTGGTTACTTTCTGTTAACAGTTTAACAGGGTAAAGACATTTAAACTCATAAGGCAGAAGATGAGGGACATGCATGTCAGAAAATGCATTACTATTGAATACTGTAGAGACGAGAGGAGTCGAACACTCGGACTGCTCTCAGTCCATGTTGGCAAGAAGAGAGCATTGTGGGGCTTTAGGCAGCAACAGGGCACCATAACAGTGACTTCTGTGGTCATTAATGACCTCCGAGCAGAGCTCACATTTTCAAACACAGCCAGAGTCTACTGGGCTGGTGTTGCTACTGCTGAGTGGTTGATATAATTTTACCAATTTGGCGTCCAGAATACTGTCCACTGTACCTAATGAAATGAAAAATACTTTATTTTATCCCAGAAGGGAAATTCAATAATCACACTAATAATAACCAATTACTGATCGATAACACTGCTGACTATTAGTTTGAAAATGATTTAAAATTTTCATCTGATATTATACATACAGAGAATATAATAGCACAAGACTTTGTAGTCTTTCTAACATCTATCCTTAAATTTTTCATTTGGAATTGCCAAACCTCGAGCAGCCACTGGTTTCCACATATTTCAATCAATGAATGACACCTCAGTTTGTTTTATTGTGGTCGCGCTCATAAACACTCTGCTGTCCAATATTTGCTTGCAGTTTGCTGAAATAACACTGGCAGTCAGAGCTGGTGGCCTCACAGTTAAAGAAGCATACCATGTAATCAGAATGTTTCCAGTTTGATTCTGATCCTCGTTTAAAGCATAAACCTTCATGTTCTTGAATGCATTTAGCCTCTAATGTCTGGTTTCACCACCTGCTGACTGGCAACACCTGAACATATCTGGCTTATAAAAGAAACTGAATTTAGAGAAGAAAAATGCTTAAACTATGGTTATAAAGGATTATGGTTTGTATTTTAGCAAATCAGTGAGGTCTGGATGCACACCACAGGTAGAAGATTTGATAAGTAGCCATTTCATTTAAGACTGCAGTAAAAACAAGTGATTTTTTTGTCTGTGGGTCAGACAACATTCTGTGTGTGTGACAGGTGAAAACAGGTGAAATGTTCGATCCACTGATTGTGTTTTTCTACTTCATCCCTCCTCTCAGTCACATCCGGTCAAAGTGTTTTAGCCCAAATTCTATTTCTGTCCAGTAATTTTTACTGAAGCAGGTCTGATGCTGGTGCCCCCCTCCCGCCCTCCAATCTGTCCTGAAAGCCCCTCAGTGTATTAAGGTCAGTTGAAATGACACAGAAAAATACTTTCAATTCCGGGATAAATCATGTTCCCAATAAAACATCCATCCAATAAAACTGGGTGCATTTTGACCCTCAGCCTTTCAGTGTCCCCTCAGTGCCTGATCACGGTGTCTGCTATTAAAGGAAAACTCCCACATTTCTGGACATGTCTCTGCTTCCCAGAGTCAGATGAGAAGATCACTTTCATCTCTGTGCAGCCAGTAAAGAGGTTGTTCTGAAGTTTATTAACTTAGAGAAATCTGCTTCCTATAACTCCACAGATGTCTGATTTACATGCTGAATCGTGTTAGAACTACAATCACCAAACCATCTTGTGGTTCAAAGTTAACACAGAGCTCCAGTCACAGAAAGATTAAAGAGACTGTGATCAGATAGAGAGCAGGGTCACATTTTCAACTGATAAGCTAATTAGATCAGTGACGTGACCAGATATAGTCGGACATCTGGGTACTATGTATTGTACTGTGTACTATGTACTGGGACATACTACGTAGTATGTTACTATGGATACTGGAACACTTGTTCTGTTAAGGGAGGGAACGTCACAGCACAACTTCAGTGTAAAAACTTTCAATCTTCAGATCAAGCTTTGCATTTGCATCTTTTGATTTACAAGACACTGGACAGTAAAATGCCACCAAACACAACTTCTCTGTTAAACTGGTACCAAAGTCCTCACTGATCTTATTCAAGTGATTAACTAGAGCTCTGCCTATAATGAACACTGAAGTTGGGAAAAGTGGTTTTAGTGTTTGTGCTGTACAAACCTGGAACATTTTACAAAAAACACTGAAACTTCACACACCTGACCCGTAGGTCAATCTAAAACCAGAATCACAAACTACTCTGCTTTTCAACGCAACTGTTTTCTACTCTGTTTTGTGACACATGTGGTACCACGTCTCTCTCCTTAACTGTGGTGTCTCATTTAAATTACGAGGAACATTAATGGAAATGCAAGGTTCCATATCTGCTGCCTAAAAAAGGTTGAATGTATTTACTTGCTGGAGGAAAGTTAGAGAAGATGGAAACCACACATATGTGTCTGTTGTTTATAAAGTTGCAGAAAGTAGCGGGTTAGCCTAGCTTAGCATAAAGACTGGAAACGGGAGGGGGATGGCTAGCTTGTACAAAGCTAATAAAACCCAGCGTCTACAGCTCACTACCTAACATCTGTTTAGCACAATTCATAGACAGGAAATGTTTAAGAAGAATGAGGTGTGACTGAATGAAGCTTTGCCAACGTTAAGGTGAACGTGACGTCTATCTGTGCGGTTATTCATATTCCCAAGGGTTTATTTTCTGTGTGTGTGTGTGGGATGGTAGTCCTCACCAGCCTTGCCGATCAGGATAGACATTTTGGTCAGTTTGCCCTGCAGCACAGACTTCTCCTTCTTGGTCTTGGCCTGGTTGACCTTCGCCTCAGGTTTGGCCTCGGACTCGGCAGCCTCCTCATTCTCCAGAGCGATGCTGTCCTGTGTCTTGTCTGGTTTTGGAAGAGAGGGTTGGGAGGTAAAAGGGGAACTAGGCAGGTTTCATTTCTGAGTTCTCTGTACTTCTAGTCAGTGTTGTGTTTTTTTTGCATAGAGGTTTACTTTCTATTGCAGTGAAAAATGAGCCCACAGTGAGGAAAAATCTGATAGACACAGAGATACAGCGCCCCGCATAATTATTTAAGATGTATAAAAAGCCTTAAAATAAATTCCATTTTTATTGCAGAAACATCCTCTCACACTGAAAATTGTAGAAAAATGTAACCTTCAACTCAACTCAAATGAATTGTTGGCAACAACAATACAAATATTGTATTAACATTAAGGGTGCTAATAACTGTGGCACACATGATTTGATGTCAAAGAATTATTTTTTAATGTGGGATTTTTTTCACACTGAATAAATGCACTTGAATTAAAGGTTGAATTTTCCTATTTTTTGTCATTGTGGTCTTATATTATTTAGAAAAAAACTGAATTTACTAGAAGCTAAAGAACACATCTTAACCATGGGGTGCCAATAATTATGGAGGGCGCTGTAACTACATGGAAACCACTTGGGGTTCAAAGGGTAAAACACTGACAGATGTTTGCTTTTACCACCAATCAGCTAGTATTGATTGAAAAAACTGCAAACTAGAATTACAGAATTTATATTAACACCAACTGTGGGACTTTAATTTGGAATTCCATTGACTGATTTATTAATTTATTTTGGCCACTAGAGGGCAGAAGAACTTCTACAATTCTACAATTTCATTTTGCAGATACTTTTATCCAAAGTGACGTACATCTGAGAGCAGATACAACACAAGCAAGGATCTAGTCAGGAGAAAACAATCTGATAAGCGCCGTCGAATAAGTTCAAGTGTGATAGGGCATTGATGCCAATAGCAGGCTGTGTGAGAGGTAAACCAGGACTTTTACTGCAGTCATGTAATTTTGCTGAAGTAGGACTTTTTATGCAGCGATTTCAGTTTGCATTACTTACACTTTCCCTCACGTAAAGAATCTGAATATTTTTTCCACCACTCACTCTGAGTCACGTAATGTGATGCCAAACAGACTACAATTAAGATTAAAGTGTGGGAACGTCACCAGTGCATAACCCATGTCGTGGATGTGGAAATAAAGGATTTTTTTCAGTGGCTTACTACGACAGGAGGAACTTCAAATCAACACCAGCTGATAAGAATGTGCAAGTATTTCTGATTTGCACTGTTCAAACAGTGTAAATATTCAGAGGCTGACCTGGTCAAACTTTCCTCCCAACACTTCACAGACTTACTATCCTTGTATAACCTTCGACACTTCAACGTGAGCTGAGTTTTTTGAGACATGTACAGCAGGTTTTGCCTCATGTCTTACTTTTCTTGGCCTTCTCCTCTTCGTCGTTCTCACCCAGGAGAGCGAAGATGATGCCAGTTTGAGAACTGAGGCCGACAGCTGACACCACCATCTTGCCGGACCCCTCCATCACATGGGTCCCTGAGGGAACATTCAAACACTGTTACTGCTGTTTCTTTTCATTTGAAATCATTGTCATATCAATTATCATCAAATTAAAAAATCTTTTTTTTTTAAATTATGATTTTAAGTGTGTGTCCTGTTTGTTTTCTATTGCGTACTTGTAGCCCTTTGAGATTTATTTTAAATGAAAAGTGCTTTTCAAAATAAAATGTATTATTATTATTAGTGGTAGTCAAATTTTTGTGGGAAGGCTTCATGTGACTGTGCACTGGCACTCACCGGACAGCAGCATCGGGTCCTTCTCCTCAGACTTATCAACCTGATCACACTCTCCGGTCAGAGAGCTCTCATCAATCTTGAGGTCGTTGCCTTGGATCAGGATCCCATCAGCAGGCAGCAGGTCTCCTGCAGGTCAGAGGTCAGAGGTCAGAGCATCTCAGCCTCTGGATGTGAGGAGGATCTTATATTGCACCTGCATTTCATTTATTTCTCAATTCAGTGTTCACTGATTTTTGCTCCAGTCATTTCTAAATCTGATGAACACCAAAACATTATAAAAACCCCATGTTAAACCCATGTTCTCTCGAGCTGAAATAGAAAAAAAAATTGACAGGGGCAAGAAACGCTCAGAAAGTGCTGGAGTTCAGAGGGTTACAGTCTGTTATTGAGTCAAAAAGCATAAAACAGATCCAGAATTCACAGAATGTTTATTGTTCAGAAATGTTTCTGACCAAAGGCTGTGCATATGAACGTGTCTTCTTTTTATGTATTTTCAATTTTGATGTGTTCATTTAGTACCAATTCACAAGTTAAGTACGGTCAAGACCTCGTATTATTAAATTATACAGAGAGAAACAACAAATCCAATAATTTCCTGTAAGCAGCACTTAGTGTATTGCTATTTTATCCTCTTTTGCATCACTTTCTGAGTGTGTGTGAAGATTTCCCATGAGCCTCATCCTACACAGCCACATGTTTTAGTGTACTGATGGTCAGGATGTGATGTCCTGGTCTGGTTGAGGGCCCTCAGTTTAAGTAAGAGGAAATGAACTGGAACTTTAGTGGCTAATGTAACATCTGTCAGCTAACACTGATACATTTACAGAGAAGCTGATTAATGTGATCTGTCCCTGAATAACCATAAAGAAGTTAACTGTAACCCAACAGTCTGATCTCACTAATGAACTTGTGGCTGAAACCTTAAGGGCTGCAATTCATTTCATTTAAGCCTGAAGGATTCTGAAGGGTAAAGCTCTCAAGATTTAAAATCCTTTTGTTTGATGTTTAGTCAGAATGAATCTTCCTGAGGCAGAAAACAAACAAACAAACAAAAAAGCAGAAACATTCAGTCATATCTGAGTCCAGCTTTTGTGGCACAGATTTGCTGCTTCAGTTTGGTGTGTGTGTGTGTGTTTCGTACCGCACTTGATCTGAGCGATGTCTCCCACCAAGATCTCAGCTACTGGGATCTCGATGACCTGACCTTTGCGGAGGACTGTGAATTTTTGTTCCTGCTCGATGCGACTCTGCAGCCCGCGGAACTGTTTCTCCTTGGACCAATCGTTGAAGGCCGTCACCAGGACCACAATGACGACAGAGAACATGATGGCCGCGCCCTCGATCCAACCAGCGTGGGCCTCGCCCTCATCCTCCACGCCACCGGCAACGTGGCCGCACACTGGAAATAAATGAGGACACGTGGAACTAAACAACAAAACTAACTTACTGATCACTACAAATGACCTAAAACAGGTTAGTTAAAAGCCACGATAGAACTCAGAGAAAAGTTTGAGTACTGTTTGTTTACACAAAGAAAGCAGATCCACTCATCAGATTAACAAGAAGCTAATTTCTCCATCCCCGGAGGTGGTCGTACTGTCAGAAAGCTCAGAGAGGTGGTGAGTGGAGATACGACAGAGTCCAGCTGGCCGGGAGTTGCTCTGGGGACACTGTGGTTATGAGGCACACGCTTTAACCAGCTGGCTACTAGTTTTAAAGTTAAACTCCGAAATACAGAATATCTGCACAAATACAGACTCTCGTTTCAGTGAGGGAGGAGGCACAGATGTCTTCTTTAGTAATTCTAGTGCAGTCATTGTGGCGTCTGCAAAAACCAATCAGCACTCACTGACTCCACCCGGGGCAGCTTACAAACACTTTCTGTAAATTCTGCAAATGTAAATTCCACGTGTTGAGTCTTCGCTGCTGTCAGGAATTCCATTCTGAAGGAGAAACACTGAAGTCTGACTTCCCCCCCCCCCACAAAATCTAAAAATGTCAGAATCAATCATCTAATAATGAAATGTATTTGTAGGATGATCTACAGTGTGAGTGAACTGACTTGTACTGTTGCCCCCTGGTGGGTGGTAGACAGACAGGCCCAGTGAGACGATGGCAGCGATTTGCAGGATGATCAGTGTGAT